AAACGATTTCTTCTAATTCGAATTCTTCCAATCCTATCATTCCGTCAAAGTTATGGAAAGGTACTGGAAGTTAAATATGTTGGTAACACAGCAGTGATTGAAAAGCCACGAGAATATAAGTTGTCCGTTCGGGTTCATCCATAAGATTTGACTTGTCAGAGCGAATATATATGTATGCTTTTCTATCCATATCGATACATGTAAGAGATCAAATTGAAATTACAGGAAGAAATGGTAGATGTCTAAAACGCAAAATGTTCTTGCAACAGTAACTTTGTTATTTGTACTTCATGCATGCATGCCCATCTTATAGAAAATAGAATGTTTTAAATTAAAACATTTGTCACATGATGAATAATGTATGGTAGCTCATTTACAGTCTTTTGTCATTTTGCGTGTATCACCACGAAGCGTGTACGTGTTATCGTTTTATTGTATCGAACAATCAATGTATATATGTATAGGAAATACTCACGCTGGTAAATGCTCAAATTTTAACAATCAGAAATTCGTTCCAATCAGTTTCAGAAGGAACTCATTATCTAATCTATTTAAAGTAATTAAAGTTATAACAATACTCTTCGAATTACTGTATGTTCCTAAGAATTTATTTTATCATGCTTCAGTATTACCTAATTTATACATATATTTTTTTCATATTTTCTAGTGGCTGATAACAGTAACAGAAAATAGTTTCTTGCAGGCATTTAACAGTAAACCTATTGAAGTTTAATTTTTAATTTTAAGATGGATTTTTGAAATTTTTTGAACAAATATTTTGTTAATTTTCAAACGAACCAAAAATTTGTTTGGAATAGGAAAGCTTCAATAATACATGTCAAGGAAAACTTAATGAAAGTACTATTGGCTGATTTAGTTCTTTCCACATGACACAGTAAAAATTCAATTTTATGTACGATAGTATAATTGGAGCACTTTATTTCAATAATCTTATTTCAACATTATTCACTGATCTAACAAAGTTGAAATTTTCGAAACTTCGAGAAATTTCTAAAACTTCGGATTTTTTAGATATACGCGGAACTAATTCCACCACTTTTTTTACTCCTAAAGTTTGTCTGGCAACGTCTAGTGAACTAGGACGGTCACATTGAAATCTTTAGGATATAGGTTTTGCTTGAATATCTTCACTTATAGGGCTAAGCTAATTTCATCTGCCAGAATTCAAGTTAAGCCCATCTTCTGGCATAGTTGCCGAGAAGCTAGCTAGCCTATCCTGCCCATGGATGTATTTTTGTTTGATATTTCATTTGTGATCTATCTGGCATTGGAGATCCTATTGGAGGTATATGTCTACCGCTAGCATATCTCATAAGGTGTTACGTGATCTTCTCTCCCGAGATAAAAAGGTGTCCGTGGAGAAGACATAAATATTATTGTCATTTTATTAATACAAATATAATCCAACACATTTAAATTAACAATTTTTGACATACATATCATTGCAGAGATGTTGGACGTAAGAAATCCTCCCTGACATGAAAGCACTAATTAAGTTAAAGGGAAAGGCAAGTATTAGAATTTCTTAATGTGCATCCCACCATAATTGTTCTTTTGCCAGTCTACCGTGATCTTCGGTACCATTTGGCGTCCATTTTATGCCACTACTATTCCGTAATACTTTAGCAGATGATAAACGGGTATGCAATCGTGCTGAATGTGATGCAGGCATTATACGTGCATGCGAAACATCATGCAAATTCCAGTCACTTTGCCGGCGCCTACTGATATTTTGTCTGTTTGATCGTAAGGTTGTAGCATGTTCATCGTTAAGATGCAGTGCCGAAAGCCATTTTCGCGGTTGAGAGCTATGTGGAAAATAAGGTTGAAGTGGTGCAATGCGATCCAAATCACCTGAAATAATATTATTAATATTTATAAATGGAGGATAAATGCTTAACTTTGAGCGAATATTTCTCACATATCACATTATGAGTAGTAAAAAATGTAGAACAACGGTAACTATAGGCCGATTAATTTTTGATAATTTAAAGATTAGCTATCGATTGAATTTACCTTTTCATAAATATTATACATCATTAGCAATTACCAGGAAAGATAATCAAATAGCCATTGCATATCTTTTGAAAATTACACCATTCTTTCCGCATTTTTAAGATCATTTATTCAACAAAAATATTAACCATCTTTGAAAGGTGAAAAATTCCAAGGTGGTCGTGAATCAACGATAGAGATTGGGCGTTGACGGGAACTACTTGTATCGCTATCCATTCTGTGCTTCATTGTAGTACTGGTTCGATTTCGCTCCAGTTTACTACAACCTACTGGATTGAAGCTTCTTGGGAGCGTTTTTGTAAATCCTATAATAAATAAGGACATTCATTAATTGTTTTTTATTGATCCATGAAATGAGAGGCGCTTACTGCAGGAATTTCGTGCTGTAGAATTGTCACCAATAGGTACGGTTTTTGTACGACCACTAACATTAGTTAACTCTTCGCTCAATGGTACCATTAGATCTGTGAAGAAACAATTCCATATTCCGTAAGCACTGTCACGGTATCTTTGCAATGTACGCGGTAGTTGTCCATGATCTGGATAGGAATATTATTTATCTTGATAAGCACTGATTACACTGGTTAATTGGGAAACGAAAGAAGTCTGAAGTATAACCATTCATGTTCATTTGGTACAAAAATAAATCATAATATAAAGATTATCAGATTTTTATTGAAATTTCCGATTATCTTAGAAAACATTATCGTTGTAATTGGTACATGAATCAAACCTTTGCTTATACGGGTTGTTGTTGGACAACTAATACTGCTTGGTGCTGGTTTCAATTGACCTCCACCACTCATCATTTCAATGCTTTTTTCCGATATACTGGAAAGTTTCCGGCGAGATTCATATCTTGTAGAAGCCAATAATTGTCGAATAGAACCATCTTCTACAATAATTGTTTTGTTTTACATAATTTCATCGTGCAGCAAAACGTGCAATGATATCAGAACTTTAATGCAATAGATATAGATAAGGCAAGAAAGGGAGTTAAGAATTTTTTCGGAGCCATTACTTTTCTTACTCATCTCATTATCATCTTGAATATGCAAATGTCCACATGATGCACTCAGCTTTTCTTTTTGCTTCTCAGTGAGACGTTTTGTTGGTGGTTTCGTTGATGCTAACTACAATAAACTGAGAATATTTTCGGAATATAAACTAAACAAACTGATAATATTTTTGGAATATTTTATGAGAAGAAATTGTTCACAATACTTATCAAGATAAACGCTACTGTAATGCGTAATCTTTTTTTTTTCTTTTTATCATTTAAAATAAGGAAAAAGAAGCAAACGTTGATATTTGTCATCGTTTGCAACCTCTTTTAATGCATCTCTTAATTCATCTGTTGTTGGTGGCATTTTTTCTTTTACATTATTATTCTGTGTCACCAGAAGTTGTCTGCCATGCTCAGATTGTGTTTTACGAAATTCGCTAGAATTGGATTCCGTTATGCTTGGCCATCGTTTCAGTTGTTTATCTGAACTGTTGATAATAGTTGTGGTAGACGATTTGATATTTGGTTCTATTTGGTCTGAAATATAACGATTAAATTGATGCTGAAGTAAACACAAGTTACCAGTACAAATGACTTAAATACATATTTTACGAACAAATACCTTTTGCGTCATTTTCGATTTGTATGGTTATCGATGGTTCTTGATCATCAACTGCATTTTCCTCTACCGTAGAATGATGCACCTCAACGGTAGTTGTAGGATTGATTGAATCATTTTGTTGAATTATCGCATTTGCAGCATTCGATGACACTTCTAATACTGGTTGCTGATCAAGCTGAACTATGGCCGAAGGAGTGATAGGATTAGTTGATTGTATTGGTGCAACATTTAATGATACCGGTGTCTCTGCCGGTAACGATGTTATAGTACTCCTGGTGGTTAAGGTTTTTGTTTCAGTTACAATCTTTTGTTCCAACACTTGCATTTGCATTGGTGTTTCAGGAATGGACAATTGCGCCACATTTTTAGTAGAATTAACAGCATCATTAGCAGCTGTTGTTATCGTTGATGTAGTTGTAGTGCTATTGCAGCATGTTGTAACTGTTGTAAAAGTAGTGTTTGTTAGTTGAGGAGCAGTATTAATTTCAAGATCCACTATTTTAACAGTATCCAATGGATACTCCATGTTGTTGGAAATTGTGGTCGTATCAGGATGAATTTTCTTGTTTCTTTTCCGGCACAAGAATACATCAATAAGACGATCCAATGATGATGTTGAAGATTTGATAGCTCCAAAGGAAATGAACAAAAAATTTTTTTATTTTTGGAAAGAAAGAAATAGATTTGATCAGATTATTAGATTCATAAATTGTGTTTCTTTGTATAAATTGCTTATTATTCATATAGTTTTTTTTTTTTGTTTTTTAAAATTTTAACGAAGAAAATAAATTTGAAATAAACGATGAAAGTATACTTTCGATGCTTTTTTATATTAAAATAGCAACATCTAGATTCAATCAATATTTTATTTAAATAATTAGCGTATTAAAAAAAAAAACAAATCAGTATATTTTCTATTAGTGATATTTTAAAAACTTCCTCAAGCCTTATAACCTATTTTTTTTTTTTTACATTAAAATTTACATCAATTACAAATGCTAAAAAATGGCTCGATAAAAAGAACTTAAAAACTATACATGATGTTAAAACTATTGAAACGATATTTTTCTTTTTTTTTTTCTCAAATCCAAAAATTTCTTTCCCTATTTGTACCAAGTAAACGAACTAACAACTAGGCCTGGATGATTGTTTCCATGTGCCCTGCTTAAATAATTCCCACATTGTACGTAATGATGTTTCCGATAATGATTGACTGACATTCTGCAACATTTTATACAAGTTACAATTAAGTTAAAAAAAAAAAAAAAGAAAAAAAAAAGAAAAAAAAGGAATAATTATTCATTTTAATCTCTTTTAAGATATCTTAAATATCGCGGTAATTTATAAATTAATCAATAACAGTTAATTTTTTACAATTAACAATAATACATTTCATGGAAAACAAAAATAAAAAAAAAAAAAAGAAGAAAAAAGAAAACTATTGAAAGAAAATTTCTTCATTCATTTCTGCTTTACCATCACTTTCGTATTTGTTGATCCAATATTCTCAAAATTTTTCATCATTTTCTCATCCGTTTGCAACATTTCGATACCTTTCTCCGGTTTAACAGATATTATCATATTTGTACTCTTCTGAGATTCCAATGATATTTCACTTGATTCCGTATGTTCGATTGATTTACTTTTTCTCAATTTCTTTTGTAAGGTTAAATTAGTGTTAGTGATATGATTCGAAGGTGATTTTTGCTCATCTTCCTTTTGTTTACCTGTAAAAAAGAATTGATATTACATTAGAATTTTTCTCTTTTAAGATATTAAAAGAATACATGATCATAGGAATAATTTTAAAAAAAAAGATCATTTATTGATTTTTTTTTCAAAAAATTTTTTATAAAAGCCAACAATTAAAAGATATCTTCCGTTTATAGCATTTCTTATAATTAAATTGGATCATACACCGTGATAAACGGAAAGAATAAATCAATCCCTGATCTAAGTATATTAATATATAGATATATATAAAGAATAAGTTATTAATCTCAGGCCTTAATATAGGTGTACTAAGTCAGAGATTGCCTTTTTTTTTACCGTTCACTATGCAATCCATTTAATTACCTTTGAAATAGACAAATGACTAGCATAAAATTTGCATATTATGCACATAAGTTATTGATCTCAGGCCTTAATATAGGTGTACTAAGTCAGAGATTGCCTTTTTTCCGTTCACTACGCAAATTTATAATTTATTTCAAATTTATAATTTATTTTATTCTCTCTCTCTCTCTCTCTTTCATGCTTAGCCAAAAGTTTTAGTTAGTTTTAGCCATTGAAGCTTAAACTAATGTCTGTCTACAAGAGCTGATCATATAATCGATAAGTAACTAACATTTCGTTTCATCAGTGGTTTGTTCGAATGTTTCTAATTGCATTTTTGATTGTTGTTTTTCATCTCTCTTAGCTTCATCATTATTCTGCCATGGATCGAGTAGTTTTACATTTTGTACCTTGCTGAGAACTTTCTCTGTTTCATTAGTGACATTTTTATTTTCATTTGGGATGAAATCAGTATCAGCAATTGTTATTGCTTTTTCAACATCCGTTGCGCCAATTGAACCAATCGAATTGGAATTATCATTCATATTGATTGATTCGCTAATAGCCAAATTAGCATTGCTATTTTTCATCGAACCATGTTCCGAAATAACCAAATGATCCTATAAACAAGTGGCCAAGAAATAGGATACATATGTAATAACCAAATGACCCTATAAACAAGTGGCCAAAAAATAGGATAAATATGTAATAACCAAATGATCCTATAAACAAGTGGCCAAAAAATAGGATAAATACGTAATAACCAAATGACCCTATAAAGAAGTGGCCAAGAAATAGAATACATATGTAATAACCAAATG